TAATTTTTTAATTTAAAAAATTAAAAGACATAAATAAAAAAATGGAGGGCCAATGAGAAGAGGAGTTGCCATGTATTACAAATTTATTTTATTGATCTTAATCCATCATCATATCCAGGTATAATAATCAAAATAGCATTTAAACTTTTGTCTAGAGATGAAGGTGGACTTAATTAATTAGAATGTAGTTCCATTCCATCCAAAATCAGAAACCTGCAAAAGTAAAGAAAGCATCATCATCACCAGTTGAAGGCTAAGATACCTAACAAGATTAACAACCAGAGAACGAGGCATATAACTGAATGTCTCAATAAGACAATGGAGACAATATGCTCAAAGTGTGAATAAAAGGATTTATTTATGTACAATATCAGCTGCTGGTGCATAGCTAGCATGCAAACACTGTGCATATTCTCGGCTTTGATGTGCCTAAACAAAACGAGAACAATGCAATGGGATGATACAGAGTTGGGGATGACAGTGGTCATATTTGAGGACAATTAAAGAAAGATTCAATTATCTTGCCTTGGAATCATTGAACTTGAGGAAGAATCGTGACTTGGCTACTGAAAGTTTGCTTTCTAGAATTGCAGCAATTCCGGCGCTCACTTCCTGTTCACATCAGGGTTAAGGCCGCCAATGGATGACAACTCACCATAGGCTGCTGGCTCCACAGTTCCACCATATGATATGGGAACTGATCCCTTCAACAAAACCATCACATACTGCAAATCACCAGCACAAAATATATGGTAAGGCTAAGAAAGCCATAAGTCTCAAGTTCTGACTAGTTAAATCGGCCCCTTGGGCCATTGTACCATATTCCTTTTTTTCATATAAGTGAGACTTCCTGATCCGAAGGTATTGCACTAACCCCAGAAGGAATTTTGCCAAAATTACATCTTTCTCCACCACTCTTAGATAAAGAAATAATAATGTATACTACATTTAGTCCATTTTATATTTTATTTGTAGGAGATGGTCAAATTTATTTCACAATTTGAATTTTTAATAAAGTATTCTTTCTTAATTTTATATTAATAATTACTCTTTAAAAAAAAAAAAAAACCCATCTCAACTTCCTAACTACCCGTTTAATAATAAGTGTAAATGTGAAATTTTAATTTTAATGACTAATAAAGTATATTTTTATGGATCCTTTATAATTGAGTTTTATTAAGTGTATAATAATTGCAATTTTTTTTCAATAATTGTTATGGAAAAAGAAAAAAAAAGAAGTTGACTTTAATTTTATTAACTGTACAATTAAAATCATATATGTGTCAATGATATTGAAAATAAAGTTAATTTTTATGAATCTTAAATAAATTAATGAAAAATATATAATTAATCTACTATTAACTTATATTCTTATAACACAAATTAAACAAACCCTTTATAATTTTCTCTATAATCTACTATAAAAGATTTGTTGAATGATATTGAAAATAAAGTTAATTTTTATGATTCCTATATAAATTTATGAATAAAATATATAATTAATTTACTCTTAATTTGTATTCTTATAACGCAAATTATACAAACAATTTATAATTTTCTCTGTAGTCTACTATAAAGGGTTTGTTTAATGACATTGACGAAAATAAAGTTAATTTTTATGATTCCTAAATAAATTAATGAAATAAATATATAATTAATCTATTATTAACTTATATTCTTATAACACAAATTAAACAAACCCTTAATAATTTTCTCTGTAATCTTGCCAATCAAACAAAATTGTGACTAGTAAAATTATGGATAGTAGACTTCGTAGTAGTATTAGATTAATTGTGTTTCCGATTCTTCGTGCAGAAAAGCAATACATAATCACAAAATCATCAACAGATGCAAGGGGAGAGATGAGTAAAGAGAGGAAAAAAAAAAACATACAGACTCCGGTTTGCCCATGATTTTAGCGACGGTGGAGGTGACCTCGGACATGATTGAGACGGTATCCACGCCATCCAGGTTGACGTTGGTGGAAAGATTCAAGCACGGCATCTTTTAAACCCCGAGAAACCCTTGCTGCTTGTTTTCTGTTGTAAATTTTTAGTTTTATAAAGCCGCGGTGCGGGGAGGCTAGCCATGGACAATCATCCCAAATACAGAAAATACCTCTTTCTAACTACGTAGGCCTTGGCCCATCAGGCAAAAGGCCTTCAGTGTACGTGAACCAGAGTGTAGACCTAGTCACCAATTATTGGCAAAATTTTATTTTTAATTTTTTACTTTAATAAATTTATAGATTTTAACATCTAAACTTATACTATAATATTTTTAGCCTCTCATCTATATGAATTTAAAAAAATAATAATTATTTAACGTGAAGTTATAATATTTGTCAGTTGATTGTTAACATTTTATTAATAGTTAATTAACAAACTGTTACCATGATAAGAATATAGTTAACAGAATATTAACAGTTAGTTGACGAATGTTATAAATTGATATTAAGTAACTGTTATTTTTTTTAATTCGTAAAAGCGAGAGGTTAAAAATGTAAGGAGTTAAAACCTATAAATTTATTAAGATAAAAGGATAAAAGTATATTTTTGCTTAAATCTTTCGGTAAGGTTATTAAAATTATATTTTATTTGGTATATATGTATTATTTTGTAAATAAATAATTATAAATTTTAAAAATATTAATTTATTTTATTAATAATTTCTTATTAATCAAATTAAATAAAATCAAATCATTTTTAACACAATTTTAGATACCTTAAAAAAATTAATTTTTTTAATAGGTAGAACCCTCGAATCACCCCTTGAAAAATATGGGGAGGGACGGATTCACCTCTAAAAAAAAAGTCGGGACATTTGACCCCTCAAAATTATCGATTGACCCAAATCACCCATTATTTAACTGCCACGTCATCACCGTCACAATTTCCGTTTAACCCATATTAGCATGTCATTTTTTTACACGTTGAAGGTTGATGTGTACCGTCTCATCATTTTTTTTTACAGTGTGTCACCCTTTTTTCATTTCAAGGGATGTTTGGAAGGTCAAAGAAGTTAAGATGGAGACAACAAAGGAGGAGGAAGAAGAAGAAGAAGGAGTTAAGATGTTGGGGTTTTGATCGATTTCTCAAAGAAATCTATAAATCAGATTCAGTTTAGATATGGGAAGAGAATCGGATAACAACTTCAGGGTTACCACTTCGAAGGCATACATGTCGGATTTTTGTGTTGCGACGCTGCTGGCTTGGAATCCGGCGACATGTAGCCTATTGCGCCTGCAAAATGCATCTTCCCACTATCCGATCTCATCAATTTTTTGCTTCTTTCATCAACTTCGACAATCTTGCCGATTTCAACCTTCTTGCTCTTCCCAATTTTGTTCTCCTCGGTTTCTCTGCACAACTGTGAGGTGCCAAAATGGCATATCTTTGCATTGAAGGAAGGTTTCATCACTATGATGCTACTACTCTTGATGTGATTTTCTTGTGAAACCTCCTCTAGAAGACTGGTTGGGCCAAGCCCTTGGTGGACACAAGAGATCTCACATGCTTCCATCAAACCCAGCAACTGCAATTGCAACTTCAACCCAGCCAAAAAAGTCTCTGATCGATCTAAATTTACTAGCTCCGATGGAAGACGACAAGTTCAGCGTGGTTTCTGACGGATAAATGAAACATTCCCACCAAGCATTTATGAAATTCACATGGATTTGGAGCTGGGTTTTTGGTTTTTCAATTGAATTTTACTGTAGCTGCTAACAATTTCATCATTTTGTAGATTGAATTAAACTGCGTTTCACTGCAACTGACTTGAATAGTTCATTACCTTGCTTGAAGAATTCTTATTTTTCCAGGAAACTATTTTCTAATCTCTGTTTGGGAAGATGAAGATTGTAATTGGTTTCATGTGTACACCATGTTAGAGGAAAAAACATTTTCCGGGTGGTTTATTTTTCCCTACTTGTGGACGAAGGAGCACTAAAGTCTGCAAGTACCAAAGTGGTTCAATTTTGTTTATGCGTCCTTTCTTCTTTGACGAATTGGGATTAGGGTTTTTGAAGAAAGTTGATGAATTGGGATTAGGTTGGGATCCATGAAATGAAAAAGGAGTCACACGATGTAAAAAAAAATGATGAGACAGTACACATCAGCATCCAGCACGTAAAAAAATGATACATTGGCACAGGCTCAACGGAGATCGTGACGGTGATGACGTCATCTGTTAAATAATGACTGATTTGGGTCAATTGATATTTTTGGGAGCCAAATGTCCCTGCTTTTTTTTGAGGGGTAGATTTATCCTTACTCATATTTTTCAAGGGGTGATTTGAGGGTTCTACCTTTTTAGTAGGTTATGCATTTGAATTTTACAGAATATTTTTTTATTTTTTAATTAATATGTAAATAATTATAATTTGTTACATAATGTGTTTTTATAAATTAAGTTTAATAT